AAAATTACCAAGTGTATAACTTACTAGACTTTGCTTATTCAGAGGTGTATCATAATTTGCATGTCAACTATGGTTTATAGTCCTGGATGAATGTACAAGCTAATGTTAATTGCTGGTTCTTTCAGTCTGATGAAACCTCTTTCTAGTGGCCACTGGTGGATTTTATGTCTCCAACTTGTCCGTTCCAGTCTTAGAAAGAATTGTTCTTTGGTGAAGGGTAACAACAGCAGGCAAATAAAACACTGAGTGCAAAATGAGCCCAATGGATGGCATTTGACAATGAGGCTAATGGGGGGGGGGGGACCTGAGTTGTGAATGTAAGTTCATTTACTCTTAAAAATACATCTGGTTTGTGCTGAAATGAGTAAATTGACATTTGAAATTAGAGAATAAGAAGATAAACAATCTTATAAGATATGGGATTTATTTTATCAATGGTTAGACAAAAAGACATGGTAATGAAATATATTAGGAAATTTCATAATATAAGACTAGTAGAATGATATAGAATATAAAAATATATAACCATTGGATGAATGCATAATATAAATTCATATAAAATTTAGAATATTCTGTATAAAATAATGGAATAATAGTTTAGTCAAATGAACGATTTACAAACTGATAATGTATAAATATATGTTGGATCGATAATGTGAGAATCTATACAAATTGTAAGTGAGGACTATGAAAGGATAGCACAAAAGATTTGTAACCAACTGACATACTGTATTTATATAACTGAAAGATGGTTTTATGTTTTTTATGTTTTGTTTGTGTTTGTTTGTTTCAAAAATATTTTTTTTTAAAAAAATACATCTTGGTTAGCATATTGTACAGATGAAGTGACAGTCTCCTAATATGAATTAGCATGGAGATTACTCAATGAAGATAGGAAGATATTCAGTATAAAACCCCCGTAAGAAATACAATACGTATCAAAGGTTCCTGACTCAAGAATAAGGAAACAAAATAATATTTAATCTTGTGGAAAAGATTTTAATACATACCTGTACGCCAATGTCAATGAATCTTAGAAATTTTAAGAGTTAAGGTTTAAAGTTTGTGAAGTTGTAAGCTTGAAGAAGAGTTAATTATTTACTGTCTTGGATTTGGGTTGGACTAAAACACCTCCAAGACCTTTCAGCCCTATGATTCTATGTTTCTATGTCTTCTCAAACTTCTTTCAATTTAGATAATCACACAAATATGTTGGTTTTCTGTACTGTTTACTCTTTTTTTCCAATTTCTATTTTTTTCAACAATAAGAAAATAATCAAAAGCAGGTGATATTATCATCAGGATGTTGACAGGTACTTAACAGATCATAGCTGTACTAACTATTGTACAATGTTCATTAAATGAAAAGTAAATTAAAAAACAGGTAAAATAAATAAAAAGGTAAATTAAGTAAATTAATAGATAAAAAATAAAGTAAATGACTGAGAGGCAGGAAGAAGTCTTGATGTTTCCAGACTTTGGATAAAATCAACTACACTAACACAAATCACAAAATAGTCTTTTTTCATATGAAGTGAATTCGTGGGAAAAAAATGCAAACTAATAAATTTACATAAAGCAAATTTATATAAAAGCAGGAAAATCTCTGGATATGTGTGCTTATGAATCCCTTTTCCTGTTTGTCTTTTCAGGACAGTCATAGAATGGAGGCACAAAGTTTGGTTTCTATACTGTTTCAATTCCACATATATTGGGAAATCAATGGTGATCTCATTCTCTTCCTTCCTTGCTTACCCTCTAATACTCCTGTTTGAACAGCTGCACCCTTTCAAATGTATTTATTTATTCATCCCATTTCTATACCACCCATCTCACCTAAGTGAGTCTTGCATCAGAATCATCTTATATTACTACAAGTACAATAGAAAAGAACAAACAATGGAATAACTTGCATCCAGAAGTTGTAAAGATATAAATACTCATGCACTTGTTAAGCAGAAGGAAATGCTAGGTGAAGTTTTTGTTTTATTGTTTAATTGTAGCAATATCCTGTTCCCTTTCACATTCTTGACTGTCCATCATGATGATGCAAAATGGATTTTTCTTTATCCACTTCCTTTTTTCAGAGATTTAATAATTTATTTATCTTTGAAAATATCCTTTGAATCAGTTTTACAGCACAATCTGATGCATAAGAGATAATTCCTATAACGCTCATTGGAAATTATGAGAATTAAAAACTGAGGAAGAACCATTGTTGCTGGTTGCTCTAATGGGTACATTATTATTTTAAACTAGTTCCCAGGTTGTCTTGGTTTAAACCAGTTTATTGAATAAAACCCAATTATCTAGGTTTGGGAAATGCCAAGACATAAGAACAGGGTCAAAAATGGGATACCAGAAAAATGTTCAAATGGCAAACACTATGTCCCCAAATTGAATGAACATACTACGTAAAGAGGTTCACCCTATAGTGCCAGTTGACAGCCTCTATCAGATTTGAGTGAACAGACCAGATCAGGAAACAAACTTCAGAGGATATAATTATAGAACCTCACAAATCTGATTGTCCTGTTTTCCTTCTTATATCCTAATAAATCAAGGAGAAATTTGAATTTCTTCCAAATATTTCAGTCTTCTTTGCTTATAAAATAGTTCTTGGCTATTGTCTTCAAAGTCATCTCCCTGTTTCTCTGCGCCCCATATGTCAGATGATACTCAACAAATGAGTCAACATGTATTGAGAAAGACCTAAAATTCTTTCAGAGTACTAATGTGGAATGCTTGGTGGTTTGCTTCCAGATATTCATTGTCCAACTAGGTAATTTGATCAGTGTGAATGAGTGTGAGATTTGTTTCCTTTTGTATACAGTAGTTTGGTTCACAAGATTTGGTAGGTATGGTTTCCTCCTTGGTGGTTCCTTGACTGGAAATTGCTTTCTGCTTGATTGTTTATCTGGTGTTGATCCCTGCTTATTTCCATACTGACCACTGGAGATGATGAATTCTAGTATTTCTAGTTTTCAATTGTATCTTTTGAATGCTTTTTAAATGTATTTTATCTCTGCCAATGGCTGGGATTGAAAGAAAATTAGCATTTTTAAAATTAAAGGAGAAAACCTGCATCAATAACCTGAATTATTTTGATGATACTCCTGTCAGCTTTGGAAGTCATATTGACACCAGACGCTTCCACAATGCCACATTCTTGAGCCTGGGGAAATGGGAGGGGGGAATTTCTTGGAATGCTATTATGCATTCTTCTTCTAAGTCAAGGTTATGTTATTCTGCACCTGGGTGAGGGGACATCTCAAGTTGAGACAGATGGTGATTGGGGCATGCAATGCAATGATGGGTGCAGGGGTGGATTGGTATTTTTTACTTACTGCAAGGAAACCCAAAAGTTTCAGATTCAGGATTTCCCAGATGTATAAGTTTACTACCGAAATAAAGCAGAACTTTTGAGAAGATACCTGTCTCAGAATTATTTGTTGGAGTGGAGGTTTTCTGGAATGCTAACATCAACTTTGATGATTGAAAATGCAAGTGATTTCTAAAATCAAGGGGCATAGTGAGACTAACTGGGGCTAAGATTAAACATCAAGAGCACCAGACTGATAGCAACATGCCATCAGTAATAATCAGCTACAGAACTGACAATTGATACATTGAAGTAGTGAATGTCTTCTGCCTTTTAGGAATGACTATCAACAGTCAAAAATATGCCACAAACACCTGTTAAATATCTATTTAAATTCTTAGGAAACATATTCACATGCCATGCTGTGCCTACACTTACATCTATCAGAATCACACAGGAAGTGCTTTTTCCTGTGATGATTTGTGGAAGCTAAATTGGGACTTTGAAGAAGCAGATTATGAAAACTAGTGATGCTTTTGAAGTTTGGAAAAGATTCCTGAGAACACTATGGATAGCTGAGAGAATTGATGGATCAATGAACAAATCAACCTAGAATTCTCATTCAAGGCACAATAATCAGCTCAGATTATTCTACTTTGGACAAGTAACAGGAGCTCACTCCGTTACACAGCACTAGGGGTTTGAACCTCTGAACTGCTGACCTTTCTGATCGACAAACTCAGCGTCTTAGCACTGAGCCACTGCGTCCCTCTCTACCATAGCCAGATAGCAAATATAGGTAATCTTCAAGTTACAACCCCAAACTGAGCCCAAAATTTCTGTTGCTAAGTGAAACATTTGTTAAGTGCATTTTGCCCATTTTGCAACCTTTCTTGTCATTGTTATTAAGTGAATCATTGCAGTTGCTAAGTTAGTAACATGGTTGTTAAGTGAATCTGACTTTCCCATTGACTTTGCTTGTTAGAAGGCCGCAAAAGATAATCACAGGATCCTGGGACACTGCAACCGTCATAAATGTGAGTCAGCTGCCAAGCACCTGACTTTTGATCACATGATGCTGCAACATTCGTAAGTGAAAAAAGTTAAAAGAAATTGGGAAGAGAAAGAAAAGTTATAAAGGAGCATATATATCATATATAAACATATATATATAAATATAAATATAAATATAAATATAAATATAAATATAAAAATTATATTTTTCCTTTCTACAGCATAATTTCCTTCTTTCTTTAGTTTTCCTTTTAGAACTAACAAATCCCTAAATCACAAGTTCATTTTTGTCTTGTTTCAGCAAAAAAATTAATAAGGAGCTTAGGGTAGGATCTACTTTTTTTTTTTTTACTATAAACAGAGGATCTCTTTTGGAAATTTCCACTCTCCAACAAGGAAGTTGAAAATATATTCATAAAGAATTTGCAGTAGGCAAATTACTTCCCCACTTTCCCTGCGATGAGATAAGACTGAGTCTAGCTCGGCGCCAGAAATTCCAAACATCAGAAAGAAAGCTTGTTAACAATCGTGAGCCTTTCTTTCTCAATAAAATTAGACAGCAACCGCCCACAAAGTATTGACTTCTCGTTTTTGGAGTTAAATCTTCGTAGCTCGTACGGATTCCCTCTTTTCTTCTCCGCTCAGGATCGTCTTCAGTCCCCAAACCTAAAGGAAGGGCTTATCTGCTCCGACCCCAGCTGGGTGTTTCTGCCTATGATGCAAGGCTAACCCGTGACTTACGTCGTGTATTTTTTCCGAAGAAAGACGCATTCGCACCTAGAGGGGGTTTGGTGTCCAGCGTTTTGACCCAAGGAAATTCATCTAGGGGTTGGCCGTTCACCTCTTCTCCTGCTGCGCCTTTCCAGTAAAGGAAGGATCTGAAAGACGTACAGAGATCGCGGGTCGAGGTAAATGAATTCAACAGAAGTGGATGCTGGAGGGCGCGGATGTCCAGTGATGGGGAAGAAAAACAAGGCGAAAATAGGGTGGGGACGGAGCGCACAACTGACTGGAAACAAACTTTAGCTTGGCTAGGTTAGGTAAAACCGGACATTTAGTCGATGGATATTCCCCAGAGTTACAGTTGTTTTCCAGCTAAGATAGTTGTTTTTCTTCCCCTGAGAACTTAGAACGGAAAGACCAGAAAAACGAAAGCTACTTTCCAAAGTGGTTTCGGTTTCGTTGTTCCCGCTTCCTCTTTCTCTCGTTCTGTCATTTCTTTCTTGAAATAATAACGATAAAGCTGATTCTTTACGGTACTTTTCCTACTTTTTTTTTGTATTTGCGTAGAGCAAATGTCAGACATACGACTGAGACGGAGGAGAGCTGTGTCTTGTATGTGTTTGGGTTTGCCAGGGCATTATTATTGTTGTTGTTGTTATTATTATTATTATTATATTCAGCTGCGTGCCTCAACCTCATCCCCAACTTTGTATTTAATAAAGGGTAGCCATCGCGTTTTGCTTCACCGCGCCCCTGGAACTGCTTTGGGTCCTCTCTCAAATAGCTAATGTAGGTTGCCTCACCTTGAAGGAAGTGAAGAAAGAGATACACTATGGTCACCTAAAAGGGTTCACTACAGGCCCCTAAGGTTTTGGCTTCCATGCTTATCTATATTTGGGGTCGGCAGCTGCTCAACACCTTGCATCCAGAAATTGTAAATGTTCCAACACTGGAAGTTTTTAAGAAGAGATTGGAGAACCATTTGTCTGATATGGTATAGGATATATAAGCAGGGGGTTGGGCTAGAAGGCCTCCAAGGTCCCCTCCCTTATTCTATTTTAAGTTATAAGGCCTCTACTCACCACCACCGCCAAATCGCAATGCAGACACTACCTGGAATTAGATTGTTCTCAGCCATGTTCCTATGGTATTGTCTTCATCTTGTTCCCCATTCTATCCAGAATGAAGTCTAGCTGTACTACAGTTAATGTAATATTTTCACACTTAGTTCCCCAACTCCTCAAGTCACATGACACCTGTTAGCTTTGGAGATGCTTGTATACTGAGTGGCATCTGCCATATTCTTTAAGATGTAGACAGTTCTACAGGTAAAAAATTTGCTGCGCCTGTTGTCAGTTTCTAATGTGCCTTCTGATTTATCCACGGCAACTCTGAATGGTGCTGTCCTGATTATACATGGTATATAGACAGTGCTGTCCTTCTGACTTCACTCTCCTCCTTTTCCTGTGCACCACCAGCTGGTGAGAAAGTTCTTTACATTTATTTTTCATTCATTTATTTATTGTGTTTGTCAATTGTTTACAAGATAATAGGTATAAGTAAAAACATAGATACATATAAGAAAAATAAAAAATAAATAAAAGAAACAATAGGACAGGGATAGTAGGCACGTTGGTGCGCTTATGCACGCCCCCTACAGACCTCTTAGGAAAGGGGTGAGGTCAATAGTAGACAGTCTAAGGTTAAAGTTTTTGGGGTTTGGGGAAAAAAACCACAGAGTCAGGTAGAGTATTCCAGACATTGACCACTCTGTTATGGGACTGCAGCAGGAAGGATTTAGCCAAAGGGTTGTCTTTTCTTTCAAGCTTCTTTCTTTGCAGTTCTTCCTGCAAACATTTTTATGTTGTTTTAAAAAGTACTAAAACAGATCAGAGTCATAAAAGGACTTCACTAATAGGCAGCACTTTTTTCCTTAGTATGTTCCCCTTCCTTTTACTTCCATGTATAGGCAATAAATGTTGACTTCCAAGTTCTTTTGTGTTCCTCTTGGGAGAGATCAAGGGCTTGGTCCCACGCTGTCGTCATTTTTCTACTTGGGCACTATTTAAGCCTGTAATAGGACACCATTTCACTGGAATGTTTTTTCACTGCCATTTTTCCTTTATCTCATTTGATATTTTATTTCCGATTTTCCATAACCTGTTGAAAATCAAAGCTGAGCAGTCTAGCACTACTGCAGTTTTGAAATGTCTCCAGTACAGTGCTCCTGTGTCTAGCTTTTTAGGAAGATAATTATAGAATGTGGTTGATCAAGAAGCAGATGGTATGAAGGGTTTCTTGGGATAAATATGAATACAATAATCATAAATCACATGCTTAACATCTCTTTTAAAAACACTCTTTCACTACAATGTGATTTTCTTTTCTTACTCATAATAGAATTCTGAACTTATTTTGGTGGCCAGTTCCTCATGTAACATGACTCATCGGTTTCCAAAAAATGCAAATTGTTTTGCTGCCCTCCAGCCATTGTAAAGGGAAATTCCTTAATGAACTGGGAGGCACTCTTGTCCTAGTTTTCACTTCCTTTAATTTCATGTAACCTTTCACCTGCCAATTTCATGTTAGGTTTATAAGACAAAAATTAAATCATAAAATGACCTCTAGTTTTAGTTTAGATTGAACAAAGAGAACGATAGGAAAATTGATTAAAATCTGTTTGGAATTAGTGTCTGCATTGTTACAAAGTGTCCTCTGTCAACATATAAATACATCTATGCTACTAGTCATCAATAAGATAATGCAGCATTAGAAGAAGATGGTGAATTTTCTTTAGTAGAATATTGTTCATTTTGCATAGTTTAAAGCAGGGCAGAGATAACATTTCAGAAATTTATTTATTTATTTTTCAGAAATAAATATGTTGGAAGAGAAGTAAGGTCTTGTATGTTTATTAGTTTCCTTCTTTTTTAAAAAAAGAAAAAAAAAAGACTTATGGAGTCAGGTTTACTTCTTTTAATTATATGGACAGTCTTGGAATTTTTGGTGGTTTCCCAAAACTAAGTCCTACCTGACTTGCTACCTACTATGTACTGAAGGATGGAGGTAGTGATGATGATAATAATATTGTTTATTATTACTCCATGAACCAGGTTTTGCCCCTATAAATCAGCCTTTCCAAGGAAGGTATGCTGCAAACCCCATAGAAAGTCGACTCATGGGTCCAGAAATAAAATCTTTTTTAATAGCCTTTTGAAAGCCTTCTCAGATTCCAGAAGTGTAACCAAGCATAGGTATAACAATAATTATACAGAACGTCTTCGCTCCATTATATTGGCCCATTCCCCCATTCACTACTCACGTAACAAAGAATCCATACTAGCACATGACTTACACTTTATCTTGGCTTTTCCCATGTGTAAATATTTGGTCTCTTTTAAATTGATCCAGCTGCACCATCAGTTGTTTTCTCTTGCAAATCAAAACATTAAGGCAATTATCATTATAAATAAACATTAACATTAAAGGCAATTATCAATATAAATAAAAGGATATCTCATTACGAAGATATAACAGAGATTCTAGAATAGCTTCTAGAAATATAATCAAACATGGGTATATACAAAACAGTTTTCACCACATTAAGTCAGTTGGTCCCACCCAGTTAGGAAGGGAAGGTTTGCAGGGTCCAATCTGGGTTGGTCACCAGAAGCAGAAGTTTTGTCTCCTGAGCTTTTGGATTCGTGCTGCAGCCCATCTTTAGGGAACTTCTTCCCTGAACATTATTCTGGGACACATATATTGACCTTCATTTGTGAGGGAAGGTTTGCTGTGAATCAGCCAGCTAAAGAATTCTGATTGGCAAGGTCTAGGAAGGAAGCCTTCTCTGCCATTGCTTCTGCCCTTTCGACCATTCTTCTTCCTTCTTCCAAAGATGACACGACCCCCCACTGGCCTTTCAAAAATGTCAAAACAACTGGTTCTGCTGTCTGGTTTGGGGCCTTGTGTTGAATTTTAACCATAGTTGACTCTTTTACATTTTATTTTATATACAGTCTTCATGTTTTAATATTTGATTTGTACATAGCTCAAAGTCCCACTGTAAGGGAGATGGTCTATTTCTAAATTTGATAACTAAAAATAAACAAATAAAATTAGTACTTATAATTGTCCACACATGGGGATAAGGCAAATAACAATAATTGTATTTTTTTTCATTTTATAATAAATATTACTGAAATTGCATTACAGCTTCACTGCCCATGTAATAAAAGATCCATGCTAGCACATGACCTTATACTTTATCTTGGCTTTCCCCATGCGTAAATATTTGGTTTTGTTTAGATTGACACAGTTGTGCCATCAGTTATTTTGTCTTGTAAACTGAATTGCAGGAAAACCTGATTAAATTAAAAAGCTATCTTGTTAAGCAGAAATAACAGAGATTCTAGAACAGCTTATAAAAGTGTAACCAAGAATGGGTATAGGAATGATTTATTAAAAGTTCTACAGTGAAGCTTCTGTGGAAAGTCATCTTCAAATGTAAATGATTGTGCAATTGAAAAGCATATAGCTGCACTGATTGGATCTGGGCCAGATAGCTTTCCCTGTCAATTCCCAAATTCCTTCCCACTTCCAGACTATAACTCTGTTAGCTAATGTTGTTCTCAAGCAATCTGAAATGGAAACAGAGTGGTCCAGAATTTGTAACATAACCTTTTTGTTTGGTGGTATAATTGTGTTTTAAAGATTATGCAGTCTGTAGAAAGAATAGGTAAGATACATTTTCTCAAGTACAAACATGGAAATGTTAAGCTTGTGTAAACATTTTCTCTTTAGCAACTGATTCACAGGCACGGTACTGGAAATATACTATACTTTAGTTAAAAGGCTTTTAAATTTTTATTTTTTTCAGAACCAAGTGTATGTAACTATGGAAAATAAAGGTGAGTATTATTCTTTTTTCATCAATTGGTAATTTAGGGTTAGTTGGTGTAGAACAGTTGGCATTGAAATGTGAAAAGTACATCACAGGCATTCTGATAAAACAGTTGGTAAGGTATAGGGTTAGATAGCTGAATATGTAGCTAAGACTCAAGAGCTGAACTCTTTTGGCAGGCTGCAGGAAAAGTATCAATGAAGGTCCAGAGAATATACTTAATTCTGTCCTTCAGCAACTATTTATATAAGCATTCTTTTATTAATTTGGTGTGGGAAATATGCTGCACTAAATGTTGAGGAACTAGTATGTTGTTATAGAAATTATGCTTGTAGATTTAATTCAGAATGCTGTAGAGTTTTTCCACCTCTGCTTTATGCTGATAATTTAGTTGGAACTATGTAAGTTTTTTTTCCTGTTAGAATTTCTGTATCTACAGTAGCTGCCAAGGCTACTGTACATATTTAGTAAATAAACATGTCCATTCCATCAAGTTGCATCTGATAATTGCATAATCATTCTTGGTAAAAGGCAGGCAAAAATATCAATGCAACACGTGGAAAATATATACCTATAATACGAACAAAGGAGTTGGGTTCATACAACATACTAAATTCATATCAGCAAAGCACATAGGCTATGTTCAAATGAGATAATTTGCCTAATACTCTCTATAGCAAATTGGCAAGTTTTTATAATATGCTAAGGTGGATTCCCACAACACACAGAAATACCCAAACCCCATTTCACCCTAGATTAGCATGTTGTGAAAACTTCCTTTATATAAGGTTAAATATATTGTTTTTCCCATTATTTGCCTGTTAAGCAGTGGATCACTGAAATGTAGACTGATATCTGATATCTGATATTTTTCCTATGTTTCAAAGTTGAAATTTATTATTATTTCTGCAATTTCCCGAATAAGATAGCATTTCTTAAAAATTAAAAAAGCAGAAATATTTATTTGATTCATATATGTCTAAGTAAACCTAAATGAAAGAAGATTTCTAAATATTTGACCTGCCTTTCCTTTATTTTAGCAAATAATCCTGTACCCATAGCAGTAGCTCCTGGATACCCTGGACCACAGCCACAGTATGGATATCCTCAATATGCTCCTGGAATGGCTCCTTACCCTGCTCCACAAGGTTTCCCTGGTAAATATTTTGTAGGAATATTTCCATTTAAACTTCGAGTCTCTTTATTCAGTGGTGGGATTCAAGTTTTTTTCTACCGATTCTGTGGCCATGGCTTGGTGGGCGTGGTGTGGCTTGGTGGGCCTTGCTTGGTGGGCGTGGAAGGGAAAGGATACTGTAAAATATCCATTCCCTCCCCACTCCTGGGGGAAGATAACTGCAAAATCCCATTCCCTCCCCACCCCACTAAACTGCTTTCCAGCTCCATTGTTGCAGAGCAACAAAAGACGACCCAGCCAATCAGCTGGGACTCAGGAGGCAGAGAATAGATGGGGCCGCGGCCAGTCAGAGGTGGCTTCCGGTTCTCCAGAACTGGTCAGAACCTGCTGAATACCACCTCTGCCTTTATTAGGGCTGTATGTGCATTATATGACTTCCATACACTCAAGCGCTTTGAAGTATATTATTGGGATCACGTGCAAAGCATTGCACAGCCTTTTCCATTTTGAATTTCTAATATAACATTTTCACTTTTTAAAGCATACACTATTAGTAGTTCTCCATTGGCAAAAAAGCTCCCGGTGCTTTCAAAACCTTCTCACTGAAGAAATGTCTCATGGGCTGGGTATTCTTGTGTTACCGTTCCTAGAAGCTAAAGGTTGGACTAACCTACATTTTGATATTTTATCTGAATCTTATCACTTTATCTAATAAAATAACTAAATTGTAGGCTGTTAAAAGCCATCATTTACTGTTTTAAAAAGTCTATCATTGTGTTTAATAATATGAAAGGGGAAGTTCAATTATATCCATCCATTCAACAGGGCAAATGTCACCAAGATGTAAAATTGTTGCAAAATAAGTGTAAGATTCCTGGTGAAAAAAAGCAGAATGAAAGTAATGTCATATCAAAACAGTTAAAAAGAATTCTGCAGAGATTTCAGAAGTGAGGATAAATACATTAACCAAGAAAGAGAGAGGCAAAAAAAAAAAAGAACTTGAATAGATAACTGTTTTGAAAAGAGAAATCACATCATGACTAAGTCTGCATATCAGGCTAAGTCATCCTTTGTTTTAACATATTTTTTTCAATAAATTCCAATTGATTGGATTCACACAAAATAATAAAACCTAAGTTTGACCAAGTGCAGAACATAAACCCCAATCTGAAACCTGTCTTTTATTAAGGGCTACAGATCAATCCTCAGTCAGATGTTAGTGAAAGCAATTTGAGTTAAATTTCCAGTCTCATTTTCTGCTTTTGAGTATGTTTGTTTTAAAGAATAGGAATTAAAGTGATAAGTCTCTGGAAGGCATTCCATTTCCATTTTGAATCTCTTTCCAACATGACCAAAAACCATGCTGCATTTGGGAAGGGAAGAGGAAAGAGAAAGTGTAGAAATCAGAGCTATTTGCCTCCTAAGCAATCACACTGTCATACCCAACCTTACTTTTGTAAGAATGTAAAGGTAGCCCTCCTATGTATAGCCACAATTGAGCCCAAAATTTTGGTTACTAAGTGAGATGTTGATTTTGCGCCATTTTATGACCTACCTTGCTACTGTTGTTAAATGAATCGCTATAATTGTTAAGTTAGTAACATGGTTGTTAAGTGAAAGTGGCCTCCCCATTAACTTGCTTGTCAGAAAGTTGCAAAAGGTGATCACGTGACCCTGGGACACTGTGACAGTCATAAGTCACTTTTTCTTCAGATGGACACTAAATGAATTGTTGTAAGCTGAGGGATATCAGTAGTGCAATTTTCTGGATGATGTGGCAGGGTTTTTTTGGAATATAGTCCTGTTTCTTGTTGATTTTTTTTCCTTCTGCCTCCGAATCAATGACTATCAGGTGACTACCTGGATAAGTCCCTCTAGATTTTTTGGCAAGATTTTAGAAGTGGTTTGCCATTGCCTCCTTCCTAGGACAGAGAGAAAGAGAAACAGCTGGCCCAGCTGTTTTTTGCCTAAGGTGGGACTAGAACCCATGGTCCCTGGGTGTCTACTCTGATGCCTTAACCATTATTCAAAATTTGCTCTTCCTGTTGATTAGCACAGGAAAAATCAGTGTCCGGATCTCAAATACTGCAATTTGATGGACAATCCCCCTTTGGCCAAGCGATTGCATTTCATATGTTTGGCAAATGGAGTCATATTTATGGCTATTTGCAGTGCCCTCTGCTCCTGTGATCATGTTTTACAATGGTTTTGCCAAAAATCAGCACTTCCAGTTTTTGGTAAAACTGTGCCCATGGTGAATAACTGATGTGCTTAAAAACTAAGGATTTGCTTAACATCTACCACCAAAAAAAGGTCATAAAATCAGATAGACCATGTGACCAACTCACTTTGCAACGGTCACAAGTTATGACCCTGATGTGCCTCTGTTGTAACTCAATGTAATGAAAAAAAGTTTTTATTTAAAAATGATATATCCTGCCTTTATATAAATAACTTAAGAAAGTGCCTAATATTTTTACCTTCTATTTTCCCCACCACCACAAATCCCTGAATGCTTTAGGTGAGAGAAAGTGTTGGGCTCAAAGTCACCTCTCTGGCTTTCTTAGGGCTTTCATGCATAAGAATACAATCTCCTGGTTTCTAGGCCAGCACTACTAGATGAATAAATGAAAAAAATATATAATAAAATACTGCATGAACCTTCTTAGGAACTTTAGTATGCATTGCCACCACAGAAACATTCATTTTACCTGCCGTCATGCTAATTTTTAAAAGCTGGAGAAATCAAAAGTCCAAAAACACACTTTGATTTATGCTAGAAAGAAATTAATAACCAGGGTATGTCTTCCAAAATCTGTCCACATACAGTATGGACAGATTAGTCTTTCTTTCGCTAGGTATTACTACAAAGGAAATACATATGTGTTTACAGTGTTAGTGTGATTTATCATTGTAATGTATCATACAGATACCCATCATGTGTCTCATTAAAGGGAGAAGGAAAACTACGTTGCATTTCAAATGCTACACATGCATATATTGTTTGCTTTTTTTCTTTCTTTGTGATGGAGGAGAAAATTATGCATAATACGTCCTGAACATTGGTAAACCTAATTGCTTAAACATAAAACAAAAAAATCTGCATGGACTGCTTATTTTTTAAAAAACTGTTTTGTTGTTTCATCTTTTCTTAAAAGGTGCTCCAGCACAGCCTCCGTATGCATTTCCAACAGCTTATGGAGCACCAACCACTTATGGCCAACCTGTTCCCCACACTGTTTGGATGCCAGAACCACCTTCTATTCCAAATTGCCCTCCTGGATTAGAATATTTAAGTCAGGTACCTTCTTCTCCTTCTACCTGATAAAGTATAATTTGAATTTCTTCAAATTGTGTGAAGACATTTTTTTTGATTTGATTTGATTTGTCAATTGTTTACAAGATAATAAGTATAAGTGTATACATAGTTATGAATACATGAAATGGGTACATATAAGAAAAATAAAAGAAAAATAAAATAAACAATAGGACAGGGACGGTAGGCACGTTGGTGCGCTTATGCACACCCCCTAGAGACCTCTTAGGAAAGGGGTGAGGTCAATAGTAGACAGTCTAAGGTTAAAGTTTTTGGGGTTTGGGGAAGAAACTACAGAGTCGGGTAGAGTATTCCAGACATTGATCACTCTGTTGCTGAAGTCGTATTTCCTGCAATCAAGCTTGGTGCGATTAACCTTGAGTTTGTATCTGTTGTGTGCTCTTGTGTTGTTATGGTTGAAGCTGAAGTATTCATTGACAGGTAGGACATTGCAATGTATGATTTTATATACCATGCTTAAATCAGACCGAAGACGGCGTAATTCAAGGTTTTCTAGTTCTAGAATTTCAAGTCTGGTGGCATAAGGTATTCTACAACGAGTAGAGGAGTGGAGAACTCTTCTTGTGAAATATTTCTGGACTTTCTCAATTGTGCTAATATCAGATACATAATGTGGGTTCCAGACTGATGAGCTGTATTCGAGTATTGGTCTAGCAAATGTTTTGTATGCTCTAGTTAGTAGTGTGATATTACCAGAGAAAAAGCTACGTAAGATTAGATTAACAACTCTTAATGCCTTTTTGGCTATGTAGTTGCAGTGGGCTCTAGCACTTAGATCATTAGAGGTGAGTATTCCAAGGTCCTTTACAGAGCTTGGATCATCAACAAGATCTTGACTATTCAGCTTGTATTTTATTTTCGGATTTTTTTTGCCAATATGTAAGACAGAGCATTTATTTGTTGAGATTTGAAGTTGCCATTTGTTTGACCATTCTGATACACAGTCAAGATCTTTTTGAAGGGTAGCAGTATTGTCTGTGGTATTGAACAGCTTTACATCATCAGCGAAAAGAACGCAGTTGCTCTTAATATGATCACAGAGGTCATTTATGTAGAGTATGAAGAGAGTTGGTCCTAGAACACTGCCTTGGGGGACACCACTATTGACAGGTACAGAATTTGATAGGACGCTCCCAATTTTGACCATTTGTTGTCTGTTTGACAGGAATGCTTCTATCCAGTTATGCAGTTGTCCAGAGATACCATAGGATTTTATTTTTAGTAGTAGTTTGTCATGTACCACTGAATCAAAGGCTTTACAGAAGTCTATGTAGATTGCATCTATTGTTTTGCCCTGATCAAGTTGTGTAGTCCATATGTTTTTGCAGTGTAAGAGTTGCAGATTACGGGATAGTTTTTTTCTGAAACCAAATTGTTTATTGGAGAGTAGGTTGTTTGTCTCTAAGTGGAGGATGATGGATTGGTTAATAATTGATTCCATGACTTTACAGGTGACGCAGCATAAGGAGATTGGTCTGTAATTTTCAACTAGACTAGGGTCTCCCTTTTTGAAGATGGGGATGACTGTGGCTAGTGACCATAGGTTAGGCAAGGAACTGGTCCTGAAAGATTTTTCAAAGATTATGCTTAGAGGTTTGGCTATGGCAGTGGATAGCTTTTTTAAGAAATAGGCACATATTCCATCCGGTCCAATAGATAGAGATGGTTTTAGATTGCGAAGTGCTTTTTCAACATTGTCTTCTGTAAAATCTTTATGTATTAGATCATTGTAGTTATCTGTGGTTCGGCTAGGAAATACTGGGCATGATCCATTGCTGTTTACAAATACTGAGCCAAAAAATGTGTTAAAGATGTTGGCTTTAATGGTGTCGTTGTTGCAGTCTTTACCATTAGGTCCTATCAGGGGTGGGATGGACCTTGAATCTTTTAGTTTGTTGTTTACAAAATTGTAAAAAGCACTGGTGGAATTGGTGCTTAGAAGGTTTTCCTCTTGTTTAATGTGATAATTGGTGCATTCGGTCTTTATCTGGTGGCATAAATTTTTGTATCGGCTTTTGAAATTGGCAACGTGACCAGATTTGTTTTTCCGCCAGAGTGATCTCTTTTTGGATTGAAGTTTCCTTATTGTTATGGGCAATCTGTTTTTTTGTTTTGTTTTGGGAGTTGTTGTTGGTACATATAGTTTGATGACTCTTTTGACTTCAAGTAAAAATATGTTGTAATGGTCTTCAACAGTATTGCATCCAGTGAATAGAGATTGCCAATCAAGGGATGAGAGATCGTTGTCTATAAGATCATAGTTGCCTTTTTTGAAGTTATAATTGGGGATTACGTCATTGTGGTGGTTTTTGTGTGGACGTATGTTGAGACAAAAGTCAATCATATTGTGGTCACTGCTGGAAAAGGGTTCTTTAGTTTGTATTCCGTAAATTAAATTCAAACTATTGCAGAAGATGAGATCAAGGCAGTTGTTTAGTCTAGTGTTATTGGTTACTAGTTGTTCCAGTCCCAGATTTGTAACAGCATTGTAAAAGGTTGCGTGTATGGTTTCAGTTGTACATTCATTTAGGGTCCAGTCAATATGAGGCAGATTGAAATCACCAAGAAAGATAAAAGGGTACGGGCAGGATGCTGCCCATGTTAGTAATGTATTTAGCTTGTTTATATGTTCAATGTCATAATCAGGTACTCTGTAGCATAGTAAGAATAGAATTGTGATATTTAAGGATAGTTCACAGATAATGGTCTCAGGAAGAGCAAGCTCCTGGGTAACTTGGATATTTTTTAGATGTAAGGACTTTTTATAGAAGATAGCAACACCACCTCCTCTACGAATTTCACGATCTGATCGGTAAGCATGATAGTCTCTTACTGTGGTAATGGAGTCAGGGAGAGATGCGTTGAGCCATGTTTCACAGACAAATATAATGTCGAATTTAGCCATATTTAGTAGGAGGAAAAATTCAGGTATTTTATTTACAAGGCTTCTTGCATTGAGTAGCTTGCATTTAAGGCCAGCAGTAGTTGGAATTGAGGTAGTTAGGGGCATGCGTGCCTAGTCTTAGGTGATGGTGGATTGGTTAAGGTAGGGTTGTGGTTGAAGGTTAAAGCTGAGTTGTGGGATGTGTGACTTACTTTTGATACAGTCAGCATGGTAGTCAATGTACAGGTCCTTCTCTCCATTGTCTAGACGTTTTTTGAGTTCAGTGCGGAGTACACGGGAGCGGGCACGTTGCTGTATGGTTAGGTCAGGGCGACAACGGAGGTTCTTATGGTTGGTGTTGGTTTTGGCGAGTGAATTTATAGTGTAAATGAATTTGCGTTTGCTTGATTCATTTTTGCAGTTGTGCTTATCTTGGCAAAAAGTTTTAAATATGGAGACCAGGAGTCTTTTATTATAAAGGACAGTACTGTATTTTAGAAGACTGCCCTTCAGATTTTTTTTTTTTCAAAAAGTTTTATGTTGCCCTTTTTTTTGGTCATTTAATGTTTACTATACAAAAATTTCAACACTTAATTCATAATTGTTCACAGTCATGTGGAAAATATGGAAACTGAACTGTGGGTTTAAGATTAATTTACATCTACCTTTTGATTTCAGATATTTTTATGAGGATATGAATTTTGCTATTTTTTTTCCTTGCTTTTGCTCTTTATTTTCCTGTGTAAAGTAAAGGTATAGATATAAACATTTTCAAAAATCCTTATACACCTCCTTTTTCAGATTAGTTTTTTATCAGGGCTGTCAAACTCACAGCCTGTGGGCCAGATACCTGCTGGCCAAGCCCACACCCGATTTAACAAAGGGGGGGGAAAGTCCCGATATGTCACATGACACCACCGTGATGACGTGAGTTTGACACCCCTGTTCTTTATTCTTTTAAGGAAGAATGGTCACTGAAAGTAGAGGCCATTCATTCATTTAACATGATGATGATGTTTTATTAAATTTAAATGCTGCCCAATTCCTAGCAATTCTGAACAGTCCATAAATGGTTAAAGATTAAAACAACATAACCAAAAAAGAGCAAAGATGGCAGAGATAACAAACCTGGATTGAAACAGAGAAAATGAAGAAAGGGGGGCTTCAATCATGCTCACCAAAATTTTGGGCGAAGATCCAGGTCTTCATGGCCTTTCGAAACATAAGCCGAGTAGTGGCACATTTGACTCTCAAGCAGAACTTCCTTCTAGAATATCCTTCTAGAATAACGCAGCCCATATCCCAAGCTTTTAACTATGAGTTTTTTCAGCTCTGCATAAAGTTGCTTAAATTTGAATCTGAATAGTTTTCAATGCAAGACATGCACTCATTTACTAAATACCAGCCTAGCTATATTTAGAATGAATTCTAGGATAACAACATGTGCCACAGCCTGATACAGGTAGAACAGGAGTGTTTCTGCATTTCATGGCACTACAGTTGGTGAAACATGTCTCATTCATCGAGGAAGATGACAAACCCTGACGTATAGGTTTAGAGCAGGGGACTCTAACTTTGGCAACTTTAGACTTGTGGATTTCAACTCCCAGAATTCTTTGCTGGCTGAGGAATTCTGGGAGTTGAAGTCCAAAAATCTTAAAGTTGCTAGGGTTGAAGACCCCTGGTTTAGAAGAATGGCCATGAGACAGTGGAATCAAAGGACAACTTTATTTGATGGTGTAGATGCTGCCAGAAGATTGGAATGGTACAGAGGACTTCTATGTAAAGAAATCCGAGTTCTGTTTTTGTAGTTTGATTTGTGAAAGTTGTTGCTTCTATTGCCATCGATAATTTGAAACCAAACAAAACTGGTGTGCTTTTGATGTATTGGACCTGCCACTTCTTGTTTTCCCAATTGACAGATTATTTATACTGGTGGGATATTTTAGAGTGATGGTCCAGTTTTCTGAAAGGCATCAGGGCTGACAGATGCTGAAATAAGATTCCTTTTTAATTCTGAAAATTGACCAAAAAGAAAATAGTTTAGTTTCCTTTTAAGGTACTTCCCTTAAATGATGAGGTTGATAACTTACAGACTAGTTGCAGAATGAATCTGTTGATAGCTCAGTTCTAATTTTTTTTAATCCACTCTTATAACAGATTGATCAGATATTAATCCATCAGCAAATTGAACTTCTGGAAAGTAAGTATTTTATACTGTTTGATATTAATGGCTTAGAAAAAAAATTCAGATGAATATACTATTTCTTTTACTAGTCTTTATATGTGAGAACAGAATTATATTAATAGTGCTATATACCGTATTTTTTGTACCATAAGACGCACTTGACCATAAGGCACACCTAGGTTTAGAGAAGGAAAACAACAACAACAACAACAACAAAAATAGCAGGCAGAGCCTAAGAGGACCACAGATTCTCATGTGCCAGCTCTGCCTATATGAAAAGGACTACCCATATTTGGTTTTTTTCAGATGTATTTAGCCAGATGGTATTCTGTGGGCTTCATACTCACTATCAGGAATTGAATTCATGGATATTTGCATTTTCAATGACTGCATATAGTGCAATAGCTTTAGAAGCTCTCCAAATCTTGATGTTTAGCATACTGCAAAAATATATCTTAGAATGCTATATACAATTATTGTCTTCTTAAATTCTCAGACAAAAATATACATAGATGGCACATTATCATGCCCAGTGGAGGGATTCAGTCAGTTCACACTGCTTTGGGAAAACCAGTTATTAAATTGCCCACCCTCCCAGGATATCCAAGTGGATCCTAGGTGCTGCGTTGCAGTGGAGAAACAGGCAACAGAGTGGCTGGCGTGAAGGAAGGAAAAGGCTTTCCTTCTTTCTTCTCCCTGCTCCTCCTCCTCCTCCCCTTGTGCAAGTTGCTCTGTTTCCCGTTTCTCCATTGCATCGCAGAACCCAGGATCCACTTTGATAGTGTGGGGGAGGGGGTAATTTAACAACCTGCTTGCCCAGGATCAGGTTGGCCATCATGGGAGGCTCACCCCACATGTGTGGCAAAGCTGGAGAACAGACATGGGCCATGCCTTTTATCATGTCCAACTTGACCCTTGGTGAACCAGTTGTTAAATTATTTGAATCCAACCATTGGTCATGGCCCTATGTATGGGATTATATATAACCAAAGACTTCCAATGCAGTCAAATTGATGGTCAGTGTAAATGAAAAGATCATCTACATCCATGGGGGAGGGGAGGAATCAAGAATTTCCCATCTCCAAAAAATGAAATGAAAAAGGAATAATTTCATATCATTCATATATTACATTCTGTATGGTCACTGGGAATTGTTTTACCTTTTAGTTCCTGGAACATAATGTAAACTAAAGCAACCTTATTTCTATATTTCTGTCACTTGGGGCTTTAAAACAAATAGGTGAAGTTGCCTTTGAAGGAAGAAAAAAATATTCTCCCCGCGCAGTACTGTAGATTGGAAATAAGTTATTTTAGTTGCCTCAACATTGACTTGGGGAAGGGAAACTCTAATTGTGTTTGTTGAGTCCAGGAAAAAGCTGAGAGTATTTGTTCCATTAGTTCCCTCTGGATCAAGAAAGGTGAGCCAGAAATTGAGTTTCTAATCTGGCCTGCCAGACATACATGGCTGATGGACATGTGTGCATTCTGTCCCAAACATCGTCTTATGGAGCTTCCTTGTTCTCTCCATGAGCTGCTCTCTCCTTGACCTGCTGGCTGTTTCTTAAAATGCTGCTGGAAACATTTGTGCATGTGGGGATCTTGTTTTATCAGACCTTACAATTATGTGAATATTCCTAACCAACTTTTAGTGAATGGAAATAAGAATTTCCTTCAAACCTTCCTTTTGAACATAGGGAAACTATGCAAAATTTTTGCCTGGCCCACAAAGCACTCCATGAACTAAATGTGATTTTTATTAAAGGTAAGTGGAATGAAATTATCTATAGTTGATATGATTTGTCTCCAATCATGTATTTCATATATTTTATCACATCAAAAATTAGAAATTAAAAGTCCAATTATTTTGGGGGAAGTTGGAGGATGGAAGGTCACCCAAGGCTTTGGGAACACATGCAAATCTGTTACTTAATTGTGCATCTCTAGTGAAGGGATTGGAAGTACTTGGGGACATTGGATTAGGAGCTAAAACACTCTAGTATCATCCAGAAAACAATATTAAATACAATTGCAGGGTATCTTTTCTCTTTATGTTTCTCCTTTTTCACTGTCTCATAGCTTTAAGTAGAACTTTGCAGATTATTTATTTGACATACATTAGCGTTCTTGAAGAGAGGAATAGCTTAACTGTGAAAAATGTAAATGACCAAACAGCTTTATGTATGTATGTTTCTTTGTTTCAGTTATTACTGGCTTTGAGACTGCCAACAAATATGAAATTAAAAATGCTATGGGGCAAAGGGTGTATTTTGCAGCCGAGGAAAATGACTGTTGCACTTTGAACTGCTGTGGACCATCACGACCATTTACGATGAAAGTCATGGACAATATGGGCCGGGAAGTCATAAATCTCATGCGACCTCTGAGATGCTCCAGTTGCTGCTGTCCTTGCTGTTTACAGGAGGTGAATCATTTGATGTCTCATGACTCTTTTGGATAATTTAAAGCCAATTTAAGATTCTCAAAATAATGGATATTGATTTGGGATACAGCCAATAAGATGTGTTCTTTCAGTTCTTACACTGGCTTTCTATTCACTTTCAATTTCCCTTCAAAAGCCAGCATTTTCTTTATGTTTCTTTATTCTTATTTATGTTGCCTCATTGCCTCTGACTTCTCAATTTTCAAATTCCAAATATCTCAATCTATCTTTTGGGTCCTTTTTCTATCAAAGAATTTCTTTTCAGCACCTTTTGATGCCATATGAAAGTTTCCTTCCCCTCTTCAATGGAACAATCTTGGACTTCGATATTCTTTCACAGTGGTAATTTGGCAAAAGGAAAATTCAAGTGGAGGGACATCGGTGTGTGAATGTAGAGTCTTGTGCTGTCTCTAAGATTAAGTTCTTACCTAAGCAACAAGTACATATTTTTGTACCTTTGAGTCCAGTTTCATTGTGTTACCTTTTCTCTCCTTTGCATTGCCCTTGAAGGCAAATACATTTCCCTTTGTAATAGGTAAATCAAAGTGTGAGAACAAGCAAACGAATACAAAATTCATAATAAACAAATTTAATTCTTTGTAAATGGCATGAAAAATAGATCATTTAATTAATATTTCTTGGTTAACCAAGACTTTCACAATGTACATATGCCTTCTCCTCTTAATTCAAGATTTTGGAAGAAAGTTTATTTATTTTCCCTCGTTTATTATTTATAAATAACTCAAGGCAGTGAACATACCTAACATTCCTTCCTGCTCCTATTTCCTTTGGGGATTGGACTGAGAGAGAGAGACTGACTGACCCAAAGTCAACCAACCTCGTTCATGCCTAAGGCAGGTCTTGGTCATGGTCTTCTGATTCTAAGGTCAGCATCTTAACTTAACCAAATTGGTTCCGCAAGCAACTGTAGCTAATACTACTTAGAGGTAGAAAAACTCAAAAGAAATCCAAGATTGGAAGCATAACTTTACATTATCTTATCCAATCTGCATGGCTACAGACTTCAGGCATTCCATATAAGACCTTAGTCTAACAGGCATGCCTTAAATACCAATGATGATGAGACTTAATTGGCTGTCTATTATTTCTATCTGGATACTCCCCACAGTGCTGTTATTTCTGCTTCTTAGTTGAATATCCTAGATTCTTAAAATTTTCTTTTGATGTTCATAAATCAGGTTGCTGGATTGAGTTGAGACCAGTATATGACAAGAATTGATTGTCACTTGGTGCATTGAGTTTAAGGTGAACAGAAATAGCAATACAGGAGAATTTACAGCATGATCAGTGAATGTAGCCCCATTTTTATACGCTTTAAAGTTTCATGTAGTCCAGTCGGTTCAGTGCTTTGGACTTGTCTGACTTCATGTACCTTGTAAAGCAGTGTATTAACAGTTGGCTGCTTCATTTTTGGGGCTGAGACACACTTGACCTTTGAATTGGATACTAGGTGTGTACTCTAAATCATAGGTAGATATAGGACAAAAACTAAATTTAAAAGTAGTATTAAACTGGATTCATTAAAAAGGAAGGTAGTCCTTACATATTAAATATTTTTGTAGTCTCATATAGTATTTTAAAAACTTGATAGAATCTTCTGAAGGGATCGGGGGTCTGCCTCCAAGACCATATATCATTCTAGGATTTCAGGCAAGAATTATGACCGAGTGTTGAACAAGAACAAACTTTTTGTTATAAATATATTCTTTTCAATGAATTTTGTGTAGATTTAACTGTTTATCTCTTTTTTCTATTTTTTAAAGATTGAAGTTCATGCTCCCCTAGGCACTCCAGTTGGATATGTTAAACAGACCTGGGATCCTTGTTTGCCAAAATTTGTAATCCAGAATGAAGCACGGGAAGATGTACTCAAAATTGTTGGGCCCTGTGTAGTCTGCAGCTGTTGTTCAGATATTGATTTTGAGGTGAATTAATACTAGAAGATCATATTCTACTTTTTAAGAGATTAATCATGTTGTGTCTGATATGGGAAACCAGCCTTCCCATTTTATGGGACCTAGGATAAATCTTATAGTTCTATATGGAACTAGCTTGATACCCGTGCTTCGCTATGAAACTATGTGGTCGGGCATAGATTTTGGGGAGGAAAGTAAGGCAAAAAAAATTCTGCCTCTGCCTACCAGCATTAATCAGTATTCAACTGGCTAGCGTCCTGTGTGTGAGACAGTTGAGGGCTGTTTGGAAACTGAAACAGTATTTGCTATGTGAGCAAGAAGGAGACAGCAAGGAGCCTGGGCATGGCTTAGCTCACCTGTTCTGTACTAAACCTGTTTGCTTCTGTGAAAGTAAACTGAAACTCCTCTGTTTGTGTTTTTCATTTGGAAGAGATTTCTTTTCAGGTGGGGAGGGGGAGTAGAACTCCTTAGCATCAGAGTCAAAAGTGGTATTCAGCAGCTTCTGACCAGTTCTGGAGAACCGGTAGCAGAAATTTTGAGTAGTTTGGAGAACCGGCCAATACCACCTCTGACTGGAGATTTTACAGTATCCTTCCCCTGCCATGCCCAGCAAGCCACGCTCACAGAACTGGTAGTAAAAAACTTTGAATCCCACCACTGATCAGAGTGTATTAATAATAATATACGAAATACTAATGCTCTGATGGTCATTTCAAAAAATCCTTTCTTACCGAGAACCTAGAAGCCAAGAGGAACATACGTGCCAAATTTCAGGTTTGTAGGCTTTACACTTCTAAAGGTTTTGTGATGATGTGAGAGTGGTGTTTTGCTTTTTTATATATGTAGATTATTACTAGTTTAAGGGAAATTTCCAGCAAAAGAAAAAAAAATCACAGATAGAATGAGTTATATTCAGAAAGTATCTTCTGTTTGATAAAAATGGAATGAAGAACAAGGCATATTTTTAAAGTTTTCTGAATGTTAGATTAACTTGTTTTAGAATATCTTATTCGTACTGTTTTAATAATATTGTAAATATTTCCTATGACTATGGAATATTAATTTGATTTCCTAAGATATTTTTGTTTTCAATTTTATTTTATTATATTATTTTTCTTCATAAGTAATAGTTATATCTGCTTCAAGATACTTGAATTTTCTACATTATAATTTTTTTCTGTATTTTCTTCTGAACTAGGTATTATCTTTAGATGGGAACAACGTTGGAAAAATTTCCAAGCAGTGGACTGGTTTTGTGAGGGAAGCTTTTACAGATGCTGACAACTTTGGAATCCAGTTTCCAATGGATCTTGATGTAAAAATAAAAGCTGTGATGCTTGGAGCTTGCTTCCTTATAGTAAGTATAATATTCTCAGATACTGTATTATTCACTAATTGTATAATTCAATTATAGAGTTTTTAGTGTAATACATCAGTGGAGTTCCTAATGGAATCTACTATAGCTTGAACTGAGTTTCTTTTTGAACCATCAGGAAAATTGCTAAATTCTTTTGTCTACCAGAGAAGATTATCTAATTACCTCAAGTATTAAATTTGGTAGCCGGTTCTGGAAAGAAACTTCGAAATTTCCAAAGGACACTGGATTAGATACAATCTTAAGGCTATGGAATGGACTGCCAAAAGAGTTGCAATTTTAAGGGTGGAAGCAGCACATGTTGTGTAGTCTTCTCTACACTTTCCAAACCCAACATCCCTTAGATTAGTGATACTGAAATCCGTAGCCCCAATAATTCTTCAGGTTTGGGGAAGTTGTAGCGCAGTATGTCAATTTCAATGAATCTCACCGTAAGGATTTTCTCATTAAAAGAAACCTATTGACTAAAATAGAAGAACGTCTGAATTTTAGCAAGCGATTTACTTAATAATTCCATTTGTTTTTCTTCTCAATAGGATTTCATGTTTTTTGAACACACAGGACAAAATCGGCAACAACGTGCTGGGGTCTGGTAACAGAGTACAATCTTCATTGTAGGAATTTCTAGTGAAGTAGTTTCACCGTTTTTATTTTCAGTGGATGTCTTTTATAAGACATTTTCAATAAACACTCTTTTTCTTTTGGCATTATGCTATGGCTTTTACATCAGTAGGATTTCAAACTACTCCTAAATTATGAAGACTATTTTAGAATAAATAGTTATGTATAGTGACATTGAAGTGATTATACATATTTATATTAAAAGATACACACACACACACATCTTCAACCTTCTTTCAAATAGTGTTAATGTGAAACTTTGTACTGTAACTTGAAGTACTAATCAAATTTATATTTTGTACATAATGAATATATAAAGTGAACTTTTAAAATAAAGTTTTTGTGCTTTGAGTATATCTTAAGATAGTTCATGTTTTCCATTACAATACACATTGAATTTGATAGTGTCTAAGACTGAATAGATACGTTTTACCTATGTGTACAGAAATAAAAATCATGTTCCAGGAAGAATATCATTTTTACAACTGATTTTGTTTACATTTTTATAACTATTTTGCAAACAGTGTTGGAGCATGTCTATAGTACGTATTGTAATAATATGAATTTACTTTACTTTTTGAGTGTTCTCTTCATAATTTTTTAAATTTCCTACACTGATTCTTATTATAGGATTATGATACGTTCTAACATTTTTTTTAAAAAAAATATTAGACTGAATATGTACTTCTTCATCTGATACCAAGAAAGGGTAAATATGAACATATTTGAGTACTGGATACTATTTATGTAATTTTCAAATTCAGACTACTTAGACCTAGATCGCTCTGTTTCTTAAAGTATACCTCAAGTTACCTTGGAAAATATTTTATTTTTGTTCATATCTGATAGATTTTATATTGCTGTTTTTACATGATTCAATAAATATTCTATGACTGTATCTGTCAGGTTTCCAAGTAATGAAATCCATGTTAGAAGAAAAATAACAAAGTCCATCTTCAAAAAGATTTCCAAATTGGCAAAGTCCATGGTAATTCCAGATCTGACCCAACCTGGAATTATCCCACAATATTAGAAGTTAGAAATACCCCCCCCCCCCAAAAAAAGTCACATTATCCAATAGAAGTAATACAACGTTACTTGATGTTGTAAATCTCCACCTCCAGGGCCCCAAACCCGGATAGCTCATTTCCCACGGGAAAGAAGATACCCTAGCCATAACACTCTCTTTATCTCCACTGCTCCCACCTTAGGAATGTGTCAAGCCCCCATGTCTACCACAGGGAAAATAAGCAAAAGAATATATACTAAGGCAAACTAAAATGGCTCCGCTTATGACAATTTTGGGCTTGACAGGCTGCCCTCCCTTATTCGAAAACCGATATAAAACACAAAGATTGAAATTAGGTTAAACACAATCATACAATGCACATTTTTAACCTCCTCTGCTACCCACAGAATTCGGTTTTGGCTTGTGTGGATATTTTTCATGGAATCTCCTCACCAAACTATCAGCATTTACTTTCCAGCTATGAACCCAAATCGCTTGTGAAATTCGATAGCCTTTCCAATAAATTATTTATAGTAGATTTACCTCACAGTGGGGGGCATGCAGTAATTTGGACTGTAGTGGACTTATTCTCCAAACAAGTTCATTTTATTCCATGTAAAGGTCTACCATCAGCCAGAAAATTATCCAAAATGTTTGTGAATCATATATATAGACTACATGGAATGCCTCGCAGAATCATTTCAATAGAGGGGTTCAATTTACTGCAAAATTCTGGAGAGAATTCATACAAGCAATTGGATCTTTCAAGATCTGAGTTCAGCTTTCCACGCCCAGACCAATGGATTGGCTGAGAAGACTAACCAAATGATTGGACAATATTTGAGATGTTATGTAAATTATCAACAAACCAACTGGGCTGATTTGCTGCCATTTGCAGAAGTTGCTTATAATAATGCTGTACATAGTAGAACTGGGTTAACACCTTTCCAAATCAATACTGGATGGAGTTCATTCCCATGCCTGAATTGCCAAAGGATCCTCCACATCCATGTCAGTAATTGAGTGGATGGACGCAATTAAAGACTCTTGGGAGAACACAAAAAAGGCTTGAATAAGGCAGCACAGATCCAAAAAATACAAGCTGACAAACACCGTTCCCAGCAGCCACAATTTAAAGCGGGGGATAAAGTTTATTTGTCAACTAAATATTTAAAGTTATATTTATCTTCTAGAAAATTAACTCCAAGATTTATAGGGCCTTTTCAGATAAATAAAGTAATAAACCTACTAACTCTGAAACTTAATCTCCCTAGGTTGTTGGGGAAGATACATCTGGTGTTTCACAGTAGTTTATTAAAGCTGGTTGTTACTTCTTCCTTAAGGCTTGCAGAACAGGCATCCCTGAAGCCTTTGTTCATTGCAGGCTATGAACATTATGAAGTTAAGAAAATTTTGGATTCTAGGATTTTCAGGGGGAAGTTACAATATTTAATTTATTGGAAAGGCTATTCATTTCACAAGCGACTTGAGTTAATAATTGGAAAGTAAATGCTGATAGATTGGTGGGGAGATTCCATGAAAAATATCCACACAAGCCAAAACGAATTTTGTAAGTGGCAGAGATGGTTAAAAATGTGCAGTGAGGAGGTTAGGGAGGAACATGGGCCAGTCCTGGAGTCTGGGGAAGGCTGACAAGTGTTCTGCATCAGAGGCAGAGATGGGGCCAGGGCCATCTGACAGTTATCAGCTGCCTTCAGAGTCAGAGATAAGTGGAGCAGAAGAACAGCTGGAGCCTGTTCCACTGTGCATGCGCAGAGCTGCCAGGAGAAGGGAACAGTTAAGGAACAAGGGTCAACTTGGGAGTAAAGGCACAAGTGGATGGTGAATGGCCTTTCTCATATGGATTAAAGAGGAGCAAAAGGGGAATGGTGTTTTCAGGAGACAATTAGTTCAATTCATTGGGGTGAAGATCTGTTTCTGACTCTGCAGAGTGGTGTTTGGAAGATATCAGCCTGGCAACTTTACTAGCCTAATAAAGGTCTGTAGTTGTGCAATCACTTGAAAGACTGTTTGCCCGGACTTTGCTCGAGAGGAAATCACTTTAACCTAAATAAAAGGGGTTTTGTTGGGACGAGGAGTCAGCTTCGTGATTTTGGGAAGCCTAGGTCAGAACAGGGCCCATAAACACTTCTGACCATCGTAAAATGTTTGGGTGCTTGGCAATCAGTTCATGCTTATGACCAATTGCAGTGTCTCGTGGTCAAATGACTGATACTTTCGTCAGTGTCCAGCAAATAAACACCCACTTGGAATAATAGGTCCACTTCACAACTGCATGATTTACCTAACAACTCTGGTGACTTGCCTGACAACTGCCACAGAAAATACCAGAAAATCAGACCTGGCCTCAACTTACAGCCACAATGACCTAGGAGCAGAATTTCAGTCCCAGTTGTGTAAGACAGGAACAGGGATGACATCAGCTGCATGATATGACAACCTGTTTCCCAATTTTGAAATACTAGACACCTGGATTGCTAGTTTGGTTACCTGTATCTGCATTCATGCTAATGACATGAACATACTAACAGGATTCACTTGAAGTTGGTAAGTTTCTGGTTTCAAGAACAATTTTAGCAAAAGATGAATTATTCCTTAATATGATCTTAAAGACCATCAATATAAATAATGCCTACCATGTGAAATATGGAGTATTGAAGTTCTAGTCATTGTAGTAAATGAAAGAAGAGTCTACCAAGGATTGATACATTTGATTAAGAAAGAAGACCATCTTCTTGCTATAGGTGCTAAAATCCAAGCTAGATTATTTTATGGACCCTCCTCTAAATTTTATCTGCAATTTGACTGGGTCTTCATAAAACTTTGTAAGGAAAAGGTAGCTACCTAAACTAATGTTATCAGAGCTGTGACCATTTCCTGGAGCATTCAGTTATTAAAGTAACATGCATTATGCTTCTTAATAATTCATCTTCTAAATGACTCTCTTTGGTAATCAAAGGAAATCTGGAAAATCTTGATCTTGATGAACACAAATCACTGGGGCCTGATGGATTACATCCCAGAGTTTTAAAGGAGCTGGCAGAGGTCATCTTAGAACCACTGCACCACACCTTTCAAAAATCCTGGAGCACCGGGGAACTACCAGAGGACTGGAAAAGAGCTGATGTGGTTCCCATCTTCAAAAAAGGAAGAAAAAAAAACAGACCCAGGAAACTATAGACCAATCATCCTAACACCAATACCCAGGAAGATACTGGAAAAGATAATTTAAAAAAAAACAGATCTGCCAACATCTAGAAATAAGTAAAGTAATAACTAGCAGTCAGCACGGGTTTGTTAAGAACAGATCATGCCAAACCAATTTTATTTCATTCTTCAACATAGTGATGAAATTAGTAGACCAGCAAAATACTGTGGACATAATATATTTAGATTTCAGCAAGGCATTCAACAAAGTAAACCACAACCTACTTCTTAGTAAGCTAGAAAAAAGTGGGATAGATAGCACCACCATGAGATGGATTTGCAACTGGCTGACAAACCATATTCAACGAGTAGTCCTTAATGGGTCTAAGTCTACATGGAGGGTAGGAAGCAGTGGGGTGCCACAAGGTTCCGTCTTAGGCCCAGTACTTTTCAATATCTTCATTAATGACTTAGATGAGTGAATAGAAGGGGAACTTACCAAATTTGCAGATGATACTAAGCTGGCAGGAATAGCTAACACCCAAGAAGATAGGCTCAAGATCCAGATGATCTTGACAAACTAGAACTGGGCCGTATCTAACAAAATGAAATTCAATGTAGAGAAAAGTAAAGTCCTACACTTAGGCAAGAAAAACCAAAAGTATACATATAGACTGGGTAAAACCAGGCTCAATAGCAGTAACTATGAGAGGGATCTTGGAGTCTTAGTGGACAACCAGCTAAATATGAGCCAGCAGTGTGCAACAGCAGCCCCCAAAAGCTAATGCAATCCTAAGTTGTATTAATAGAGGGATACAATCAAGACCAAGTGAGGTACTAATACCACTCTATAAAGCCTTAATAAGACCACATCTGGAGTACTGCATACAGTTTTGGCCACCACATTATAAAAAAGATGTTGAGACTCTAGAAAAAGTACAGAGATGAGCAACCAGGATGATTAGGGGACTGGAAGCTAAAACATATAACGAACGGTTGCAGGAAATGGGCTTGACTTGTCTAGTAAAGAGAAGGATCAGGGGAGACATGATAGTGGTCTTCCAATATTTGAGGGGCTGCCACAGAGAGGAGGGGGTCAACCTATTTTCTAAAGCACCTGTAGGCCAGACAAGGAATAATGGATGGAAACTGAACAAGGAGAGATTTAACCTGGAAATAGGGAGAAGCTTTCTGACAGTGAGAACAATCAACCAATGGAACAGCTTGCCCTTGGAAGTTGTGGGAGCGCCATCACTTGAGACTTTCAAGAAGAGATTGGACTGCCATTTGTCAGAAATGGTGTAGGGTCTCCCGCTTGGGCGGGGGATTGGACTAGATGACCTACAAGGTCCCTTCCAATTATGATTATGTGTTATCTGTTAAATAATCAACCCTGTGGCAACTCTTGTTTAGACTAGGAGGAAAGCTCCAAATCAGTTGCTTAATCAATTTTTTCCTCCTTTCATTGTCCCTTTC